ACAGCGAACAGTCGTGGCGTTGTCATCAGAAGCGCATTTAAGGGTTCCAAGTCAGCATGCAATGAGCATCATCCTTTACTACATAATTAGGAAAACAATCAAAGCGCTAGATCCCTTGAATTTAAGACTGATGCGCATGTATCTAAATGAACTAAATTGTATCACTTGAAATTAAAATTCGTTCAAGAATTATGCTAGGTAAGCAAATGTCTCTGTTTATGACATGTCATTATGAAATAATAACAACGAATGAATTATATACTTCCACTTCGACACTACAAAGATTTATTCATAATCTTCAACGAATACCACCTTTCCAACAAAACAGGAAAACATTATTCTGTTGTGGCAACATATATCAGAAATAAATAGGAAGTCCTAAGGAGGAGAAGTGGAACAGTATTATAATTAGAGAACAGTCATTTTAAAAATACAGTTACAGAGAGACTAACAAACTAGATAACTTTTAATGCTACTAAAGGCAAATTTGCATTGTATTTGATAGTGAGATGGAAACTACTCTGAACCATTTCTAAGAGAGCCATTTACAATTCCAGATGAAAGGTCTTATAGAGATGACGTTCAATATTACCGTTAAAAAAATCTGATCTTTTTTTAAAGGTGGTCTTCTTGGAAGATGGTCGCCAAAAGAATGATCATCACGTTTATATGCTGTTACACAATTTTGCTGCTTTAAATACGAGTTAACCGACGCTATAATACTTCTGGAAAGTTTCTATTGAAGCCATTGAATCATTATACACCGACTGACAATCGATAATAAACAAAAGCTCTACAACTGCCAGAATATTGTTACTGAATAAAATGAACAAAGTTTCAGAGGATACCTATTCTAAGAATTATAAAATAAAACAACTGATGAATCAGCATTAATTCTACCTGAGCTCCATTTTTCTGATTATCCATGCATCATCTCCCCAAAAAATTCCGAGACAAAACCATTTTTAATTAGGAAAGTCATTCTTGATAATGTAACTCCAGAGTAACTATCTGTAAAAAAAACAGTGAAAAACCTGGATGTAAACAGGACTAATTATTCGTTAAGACAATTCTAAGTTTGTGTAAGTGTTTTCCGTATCATTTAATGCCCAACAGGCTCAAAAAAAAATAAATAAAGAATTTGAAAACCAATTAACATGCCCTAAAAAATTAATTTACATGTGAGAAATACCACTAAACAAACCTACATTTAACCATTTTGTAAGTTCCAAAATTACATTTTACAATTTAGTTCCAATAATTACCATTTTTCTATTATTTTTTTTCCATTCTATAACTTCATTTTTATTATTTTTTCATTTTTTTTATGGTTATTAAATGTATAATTTTGAAATACCTAAACATTTTTATGTTAGTTAACATTCGAATTCTTTGACGTTTATTACAGTTATTGAAAAAAGAAAAAACTCCCAGAGACTTGAGAATTAAGTTTAGTTGTACCCAAATGATTTTTAGAACTTAGTGTTTCCAAAAATTTTTTTTGTCATCTTTTTACATTAGAACAAAACAATAAATTAAAAACTACTCAGCTAAAAGGGGATAATTTCTTTGTGTTCAATGATTCAAAAATTATTATTAATTATTTACACTGAATAAATTAAATAAAAAATAAAAATACTTCTTTTCTTCGGCCTTGCATTGCGGCTTTCGAGTCTTTAAATCGATTTAATCTAAAAAGACAACCAGATATCAATTTTGCTGCAGCATCTAAACTAATCATTTCTCCTCCAATGGGTCCAACCATGTTCTTCCAGCTAAACCTAACTATATCTTCATAAATCCACACATAATTTAAATAATTTACAGTCGATTGAAAAATCAGCTCAAAAGGATATCTGTGTTATTTACCAGTTTCAGGGGTATCCGAAATTTATTTCGTTATTTACCGTTACTAACTTCATTCAACTCTTTCAAGAACTACAGAAGTACGTAAAAGAATAATCACCACCTTGTTTACTTTTTTTGAACAGGCTTGCAATTTTTTTTTTTTTCCTTTAACTCATTACATATATTGTCTTACTTAAGTGTTCTCTCATTTCTTATTGTAATAACGGATAAAGTTTCACAATTTGCTGCTTGAAGATATATATAGTAGTTAAAAAATTATCTCCATAACTTTCATTAAACGCGGACAGTCAAATCTACATCGAATGGTGACCAGATAAAAGCCCACTGGACGAAAGCGCACACACAAAAGCCCATAAAAAATAACCCCACTTCCCACGCGACAAATACTCATACATCAAACACATCACTAGACATTTGAAAAATCCAACAGTCAAATCTCTTTCATACGGTATTGGATACCGCAACATTCCACTTTACACATTTTTTTTACAAAATCTAAGAGTATTTCAATTATTCATCCGTATAAATACACACGGTTTCATTGTCCCAACCCATAGGTAGGTGAAAACTCTGCATACTTGCCTTCAAATACTACCTAAATCTATGAAAAATTTTGATCTACTGAATGAATAACTACATGAAACTGATACCGAATTCGACTTCCTTCAATACAAGACTAACCACCAATTCCTGTACCTATTAAAAGTCTACTTGTTAGCCCTGCTGGTGAAATTAAATTATCCGTTGCTACCCATAATTTGACAGTTTTTAAAGAAACTTAGCTTTGACATCCGAAGACAAAATTAAATATGCCTATCTCATTCAACTTATGATTCCATTGTGTATTAACAAAATCTACGAAATTAAAAATCTTCTCTAGGCGTAGTTAAAATTGGGGAATTAAGGAATTAAACATTCAGTCGTTCAATGCTGCAATTGCCAAAACTTAGGCCACTCTACAAAAAAGTACAGAGTTAAAAAGAAGTTTGTGTCAAATGTGGAAGTGCTCACTTGGCGATTAATTGTGAATTCAAACAGATAGATACTCCTACTTGTTGCAGCTGCCTTGCGGCCTTGCATTGCGGCTTTCGAGTCTTTAAATCGATTTAATCTAAAAAACAACCAGATATCAATTTTGCTGCAGCATCTAAACTAATCATTTCTCCTCCAAGGGGTCCAACCATGTTTTCCAGCTAAACCTAACTATATCTTCATAAATCCACACATAATTTAATAATTTACAGTCGATTGAAAAATCAGCTCAAAAGGAATCTTTGTTATTTACCAGTTTCAGGGTATCCGAATTTATTTCGTATTTACCGTACTAACTTCATTCAACTCTTTCAAGAACTACATAAGTACGTAAAAAAATCACCACCTTGTTTACTTTTTTTGAACAGCATTTTTTTTTTTTTTTTTTTCCTTTAACTCATTACCTATATTGTCTTACTTAAGTGTTCTCTCATTTCTTATTGTAATAACGGATAAAGTTTCACAATTATTTTTAAGGCATTTTTACAAAATTACTTATTCCAAATTAATTTTGATGTTTCTCATTAAATTTTTTTGGCTGATTTTATGATTCTGAAAATGTCTCTTTCCCCCCTTGTTCCACTAAATTCTCATAGGCTAATTGGTTGTCTTTGTATTTTATGATTCTGAAAATGTCTCTTCCCCCTTGTTCCACTAAATTCTCATAGGCTAATTAGTTGTCTTTGTATTTTGCAAGTGTATTTTACTAATGGTCCATCACTTGCTACTTTCCCTGTCATTTTCTCGTCTTACATTTTTAGTCAACCTGGTTCAAAATTTACACTACGTTTAAACCTCATATGACCTTTTACATAATAATCGTTACTCAGATATGTGGTACACAGTCATGAAGATTTGCGATCACTTAATAATACGTTATATTATTTTATTCTATTATTATTTTTTGCTTCCATACCTTTGAAGTAAAAATAGAAAGAAAAGTCGTGGAGAACGAAGAAATTTATGCAAATCTAAGTAAATATTTATCCTAATTCAGAAGAAAATGCTATACTCAATACAGCAACTCAAATTATCAATTATATAAACAATAAATCATCTCTAAGACGATCAATCACGATTCAAGATACCGTTTCCAATACTTTACTTACGTTTGAAATGCTAGATATATAACAAGCATTTATAGACGCAGATATCGAATTATGCATGCATAATTCGATATCTGCAACATTTGAGCAAATGAAAAACAAACATATGTGACAAAAACATATGCAGACATATGCTAATATTTTAATAAAAACACAGTAACATGAAATGGGAGGAAATAAACAGTGGTTTTAGCATAAACAAACAAAATCCGATTTTGTCGTCTTAGTGAGCGAAGTTCACTAATATTGTCAGAAATACTGATCACTTTCAAGGATACTCGCCACTGGGCATTAACTATATTATAAATTCTTTCCATTACGTATATAATGAAACTTAGCGACCATTTGCCGAAGAAGAAAATGATCACTATACCTTAAAACAAATATTGATATTGTTGCCGCCCAGACGGTATAGTGGTTAGGGTCGCCTGACTGCGATACCAAAGGACCAGGGTTCGAATCCCGGAGAAGGCATGGATGTAAAATAGTCTATCCCTTCATATGAGGTAAAGGTGGCCGCCTATTAGGCGCCTCCACAATAAAATGGTCACCACTTCTGGCCTTAGTGGTGGCCAATGGCGTTATAAGCAAGTACCCGCCATTGGGGGAAAAAATATCGATATTGAACATCACATCTTTAAAGTGACCACCTCTCACAGAAGATCGAAAGTGTCTTCACTAGTTACAGACGTTTGCTTAGATTACTATACGTGACGTAATAATGCGATTAGAATGAAACCGAATTTATAAAGTATTTACGCCCTTGTTTCCCCCAAACTTCTTTATTTTTAATCTTATCATTTTATCTAGATACTGCAAAATGTATCGTCGAAAGTAAAGCGGTTACACAAGAATTAAGCTTACAGAATCAGCTGACATAAAATGTAATTGCATAATCAAGTCCTAATAAAATATAGATGTCGATGGAACAGTTATGCAATTTTTCATGTTTTCACAGTTGAATTAAAATTTCAAAACAAATGCTACACATTACTTGATGGGATAAACTGGAAACATTTTGTATATTTCAAGCAATAAAGGATCTTCAAAATGCTTACCTGTAAAAGAAATATTAAATTAATATTACTACTATTATCATTATTATAATTAAACGTAAACATAGGAATCATACTTTTATGGAACATTAAATTAACATTAAATTAATAATATTAATTCAAATCAATCTCCGTTAATTAATTTAAACGATCTCCGTTAATAGAATCGTTAATAGAATGTCGTGATATGAGAATTCATATTAAATCAATCAAAGAATTAGTACAAAAAACAGGGTAGGTTCCAAAAGCTAAAAGAACATACTATTTTCAAGCTTGTAACTGACACACACAAATAATAATAATAATAAATAATAATAATAAATAAAAAAAAGTATGTTTAGTTGATTCAAATGTACTAAATACTAATATTACATAACGTTTTTACAACTAATACCCATTAAAAGACGGCTTTGGAAAAGGGGCCAAAATATTATTATTTTCTTATTTTCTTTTATAATATTTTGACGTCTTTCCTCAACCGTCTTCCAAAATTTTTATTTTCAATTGTTTTGCTAAGAAATCCTTAATAAATTTTGCTGTATGAAGATGAGCACTAATGCAACTCTCTTTTAAATTTTGGGGTTCCATCCATAAAAAGAATATTTATTTAAAAGATTAACTCCAGTTATTCGGATAAATAAGTAAATATCCATTCTCCTTTCTTTATCATGTCTCTTTAACCCTTTCATGCCGACTGTCAAGCACACGTGCAGCAAAAAACGCACTCATTTCCCGGCCGGCACGGTGGCTTGCCAGAGCCTTTCCTCGTTCGCCCTGGCCGTCACACATTTGTGCCAGTATCTTGGAACTGTTTTAAAGGCCACTGGATAACGTTCTGTGTCCATTACTTTTGAACTGAATACAGTTTTAGTATCTCAACCTCCAATATTATCACATTCTGCATAATGTTGGTGTCAGTTGTTGCGGAGAAGACGCCTCTTTAACTCGGCATGTGATGTAAACATTTCCGTTACTCGTCTCTTTAACTCGGCATTTGATATAAACATTGCCGTTTCTAATACTGTTTCAAATCTTTTATTTATTTATTTATTTATTTATTTATTCTTAGTGACATGAATGAATGAACCATTCTTAGTGACATGAATGAGAGTGATAATTCGTTTCTAAAGTGAGAGAGATTCCAAGTGATTCTTATATGGATATTTTATCAGAGATTATGCTCCACCGAGTGCCTGTTCACGTGAAATATTTTGCTACTTCATCTTGTAAACAATATTTCTCGTATTTCTTAATTAATTTAAAAGTTCATTAATCTATTTTATCAATTAAAACTTGGGAATAATTTGAATAGCGCTTCCGAAAATTATTTCTGAAAGTAAGCAAATACAATTTCATGTAAAGGAAAAAGATTATTAAACGCTAATTTTAATATATATGAAAGCTTAAGTAATAATCTGAAAAAGTACTAAAATTATGACATTGGGACATAAACTTTTCCTTTTGTGATTTTTTTATCCTAAAGTTACGCTTGCCGGACGCAAAATTCTCAGCCTGTGGGACGATTCCTATCCGTGGGAACGTCTTAAGTAAAGGCGCGCCACCTCGAATGGCGCACCGTCTCTTTAATTTTGTTATAAGGATGACTTCTCTTAATTATGTTGCATTTTCATATGATATGATGGTTAAAGTATCAATTTCTGAGCTGTTGCAGGTCGTTTTCACCTGGTATGTATGTCATAAGTTAAAGGATATAGTTCCTCTTTACATCCGTTGTCAGCCGTGGATATCGAGAGTTAATAAATACGAATGATATAGATATATAAATATTATTTGAATTTAAAAAAAATTACGATAATTCAAAAACTGATTATGTATTTGTTCTCCATAAAACGTATACAATAATAATTCTATTTTACTCTTATTTGTTAAATTAAATGCGGCAAAGCATACGCGGGCATCTGTCTAATGGAAAGGATGCCTTCCCCCCCCAAAAAAAACTGGCCGCACCAGTGGCCAATTGGTTCAAACCGTTCAATACCGCGAGTTCAAACCCATGCCAAAGGGCTGGTTGTATTTTTTTTTTTTTTTTTTTTTTTTTTTTTTTTTTTATAGTCCAAAGGGATTTGAATCCCGAAGGACTATTAGTTTCGTTTTGGCATTTTGCGTCGGACGGATAAATGTCGGTTCACTTTTCAAACAGTTGCCATAAAATGTTAGAGTCCTGCATTATATTTGAAGAAATTAAATAATGAAAATCTGCGTAAATGTATGTATATTTCTCACATTGTCATAAATAACGGTACATAGAGTCATCGAATTTTGAATAACGTAATCCTCCAACGAATATGAGCATGTGGAAGACCAAATTTGAAATTTGTTTTATGATCGATTTCCTATTTTTTAAAACTTTGACGAATTTTTGATTAACAAACTCAAGGATTTCAAAGCGAGCAATGGCAACGTTGTGCAGAAAAAACATTTTTATCTCTAGCGCGTGAGTCTCTGTATCGGAAATTCTAAAGATATGCTCGTTCCTTTGGACGTAATTTAAAATCTGAAACATTTCAGATTTTTTTTTTTTTTTTTTTTTTTTTTTTTGTGTGTGTGTGTGTGTGTGTGTGTGCGCGTGCGCGTGCGTGTGTGTGTGTGTGTGTGTGCGTGTTTCTCCATGTGTAATCTCTACATAGTATAAAACAAAGTCGCTTTCTCTGTCCCTATATCCCTATGTATGCTTAAATCTTTAAAACTACGCAACGGATTTTGATGCGGTTTTTTTTAATAGATAGAGTGATTGAAGAGGAAGATTTATATGTATAATAACATCCATAAAATAGTGGAGAAATACTGTTATTTTTGAGGTTTTTAATGTGATGTCGTAAATAATTACATTTTTTTCCGCTTACATTGCAAACGCAGGCTGAACCCTACGAGATTTATCAAATAATGTACTAAGTATTGTACACATTGAAAAGGTCTACGGATTTAAAAATTGCGGGACGTAGCGTTTGCGGCGGTACCGGCCGGCCGGGGCGGCGGGAGCGTGCCTATAAATAGCGCGTCGGAAGCCGCGTTCTCTCCCTATAGCACTTTGAATTTAGCAGCGATCGGACGCGTTTATTATCGGAGCACTCTAGCGAGGAAAACAACAATATACTTAATAAATACGTGTTTTTCAGCGCGACAACGTATCAGTTATTTACTTCATAATAACGACAACGTATCAGTTATTATGAAGTTACGATAAATAATTGTATGGATAGTAGTTTTAAAATATAAATGATATTCTATTCTAAGGTAGATGAATTTTTAAATCGCACTTATAGTAATTATAAGTACATAAGGTTAGATAAAGATTAGATTAAATAAAACCATAATTTATGGATTGGAATTTTCTATTAAGATCTTGGTTAAAATTTAGAGTTAAATCAATTTAATATTAGGGAAATTATTTTCAAAAATCGTAATTTAAGGTGAGGTATGTAAGTTCAGAAAAAGATTATGAACTGCGATTCATTGTTAAAATATCCATTAATATTTTATACTCGTGCGAAGCCGGAGCGAGTCGCTAGTGTGAATACAAACCAGGTTCCCTTAGAAAGTTTTTCAGGAAGACATCCTTCCCCTTTAGGTACATAATCTTGTATTTTACCGTATTCAACTTACTTAACCTAACTTTTAGAGGTATATTCGCTCGTATTCATGTTCACTTGGGAAAAAACATGAAAATGCCTGGGCAGCCAATTAATTCACACAGGTTCCAGCTCAGATCGAATTATCATTTTTCAGCAGTCTCGGGGTCACTAAAGAACGCGCGAAAGAACACTGATTAACATCGGCATTTTAACCCAGGTCTAGATCCTAGCGAACGGGCTAGCTGCTGGCGGATTTCGTGATTCTACTAGCATATACTGTGAATACGTGACAGCTTCCCTACGAATGTCTTCCATGGAGGCATTTATTTCTTAGACAAACAACCTTCGCGGGCTTTGCTTTAAACAGTTCAGATAATTTGATTTAATTAATAGAAATTGTAATTTTTTAATAAATTGTTCATGAATTTTCCATACCCATCCATTTCTAGTAAGTGCTTTAATTTTCTTGCGCAGTTTTTGACAACGGCATTATGAACTGCAATTTTCAGAATTAAAAATACTATAGAAATATACCAAATGTAATGTCTGTTTATTCTAATAAATAAATAATCTTTCTGACTTTTTGAAAATACAACTATTGGTGTTTTCTTTTTCCCAGTTTTGTTTTAATGCCAATTTTATAATAGGCCTACAAAAAATATCATGAAAAACATGAAAATGCCTGGGCACCGCCAAGCGGAAAAAAGTCTGCAAAATTGTTTCTTGGAAATTAACTGTTTGGGAGATTCAAAAACTTCAGTTTTTTTCCTGTACAATGTGCACTGCGTTTTTCTCATCTGTCGATTCCCAACGTTCGATCGTCGAGAGATCCGTGTCTCCAATAAAATACCGTGGCAAGAAATTTGAATTATTATAATAAATATTTCAATATATCAGGACTTATCTGTTCATGCTAAATCTGTGCCTAGGTTAGATCTGTGCTTAGAGTGTACTAAAATTAATCGAAACGATATTCTGCAGTGAGAGAAACAAACACACATAACATCTTCAAGATGCATTGTGATTTCATTAATTTTATTGCAGAAAAATGGTATTCGCACAAGACGGAAGAAAAATTTAAATGCATCAGTGAGATACTGGCATAGTGCATAAATACAAATCAACAGCATTTAAGTACCTAAAAATATTACTTTCGTGATAGAATTACTCTAGTTATTATTAAGCTAGAAACGTAAACTAATTATTAAGCACTACAACAGATGTTGATAAACGGAATAATTCCATTTATCGACAAAAGAAGAGAAATAATTAAATTATAAAATCTCCTCTTTTTTTTGGGGGGGGTCGCTATGTTTTGCTTTTACATCAACTATAAGACGCAAGAAGTGAATTCTATAAGAGTCTCGTTTTAGAGATTCGAAATAATATATTGCCAAAGTCCAACAAATC